TGCAGTTATGTGTTTTGTAAGAGGGATGCTAATCACAAGATTCAGGTTTTAGGTCAATCTCTGTCAAATACAAGGAGGAGACTCGATAGACTAGTTCTTTCAGAAAGATTGAATATTAAACTTGAAAGACTTATTGTCTGATCCTGTATGGCAATTTCTACTGTAAAGAGAGCAAGGAAGATGCAGAAGGCTGGAGGATCAAGAGGAAAGGTATAATGGGGAAAAAAAAATCCATTAGAATAAAATGAGTAAAAAAGAATAGTAAAGAAAAAGGCTTGAGCTGATGTTTAGGCAAATTCTCTTTTACTTTGTTTCAGTTTAATGTTCTTCTGCGACTCTGCAGATGTTTTATTATAGACTATATATTTACTTGTGTTTTATAGAAACATGCTTTTGAGGATCTTATTATTTGACTTGGAAGCTACCTCCAGTGTTTACCTTGATGATTACCAATATGCAGTAAGTCTGACTTTGTTCCTAGTTCCATTTACAGTAATATCGATTTATTACTACAATTAATTAATCCTAGAAAGGAATGTCCAGCAATTAGCAATTTGTGAAGACCAGATACCATGTGCTGCTACAGTTAGAGAAAGTACATATTCTAAAGCCCACTGCTTGTGCACCAGGTGTAAAGAAAAATCTATCTACTTTATAAAAAAGATTATTGAAGAAATATGACTCAAAGGTATTTAATTAATGTATGAAGTGGAGAGATATCAAATGATTGACTGACCATTCTGGACATCAAGCTAAACATTTGCTGAAGTTTGAACAATTTTTCCTTGGTTTTGATCCTCATGTCTTCTGTCGCCCTAGCCAGCCAGGCCCCAAGAAAGAAAGAACTAATTTTGTCCAAAATACTAAGGCAAAGTTAGTATTCTGTATGTTGCTGACCCATCTGAAATTGCAACTGAGTGTTTTACCTGGAAGCCAGAACAAAGCATCTCAAGTGGATCAGTGTCATTGCATAGCATGCATTTGCAGCGGAGCTATTCTGATCCACATGTTAGAGTTACTCCTTTCCAATATTTGGTGGACTGTCCTTTAGACCAAGCGAACCTGATGTCTTTCAAAAATTGGTCTTTTAAATAAAATGTAGCCTGGAAACAGAGTCCCTCCCAAGAAATCAAAAGTAGTGACTGTAAGAATAGTATGTCCAACCATCAAAGCAGTGCTCCAGTTTTCAGTTTAACTGGTAGCTTGTTGTTTCGAGAAAACATAATAGGGAGTGCCAGTGAATCTTTAAAACATAGAAAACTTCATCTGGGAAAGAAATATTCCATGCACACATCCATCTCATTGAGTTACTTTAGTGTTTCTAAGTTTTGTCGGTGATCATGCAAGACAGTAATTGCAGCCTAAACAAGTAAAGAGCAAATGTATCTTTTTTTAGGTTGCTCAGCTTTCTATTCCTACTGCTTTCTCCTTTATATTAGCCCCTATTCCATGCCCCAGGGCTCCTTACCAGCTCCTCATTAAGGCATGCACCTTCTTGTGTCTCTCTATCAGCCTTCTGCACTACAGCAATGAACCCATTACTGTACCAAGTATGTGATGTTGCAGCATTTATTTAGATTCATTATGTGGTCTCGTTGCATGCCAGGTTTTAAAATTAATTTTGAAGGAAACAGGAGTTGTGTTAAAATACATCAGGTTTTTCCAAAAATAGATCATGCCATACTGCTCTCATAACTTTCTTTCATAAATAATGAGGTTTTTCTAAAGAAAGGAAATACAATAGATCCCACTCCTCTGGGTATCCGTAAATCATATTACAGGGCATTGCAGGGGGAGGGATATTATTTAAACTAGAGAAAGCAGAAATCAGTTGGAAGGAGTGTGAGGAACTGATTGGAGAAGAGGCAACTGTGGGTTGTGCTGAAAACAGATCTATTGGGATGGACAAAGATCAGTAGTCTAATCCTACACATACTGCTCTTAGTATTGATCATTTTGTAGGGCCATATTTTCATTACTAACCACACTTCAGAAAGGAAATACGTTCAATTGAAATTTTCTGATTACATAGAGCTGAGAAAAATACCAATAATATAATAAACAGAGAAAAGGGGAGAAAAGCGATAGGATGGGATGATGTTAGATCCAGGAGTATAGCCTCAAGATAGTATGCTTCAGAAAACAAATAATGAAACAGTGGTTTTAGGAACCCAGTTTGAATGGATAGCATTGCTTCAGAAGCTGACTAAAAGAAGAGGTACAAGTTGGGTACATAAACAATTTGGATTATTTTCCTTGCTAATAAAAATTGAGTGTAAGCCTTAGATAAGTTATGCCTACACTAAATAAAAGTGTGATATGGAAGAGTTATCTGGAAACAGTGGGGCTTTTTTCTGTTTTTCATTGAATGCCGTTGCTCTGACAGAATACATCCATGTGCAATAAAATTAATTCAAACTGGGACAAGCATCAAGGTGTATGGGAGACTAAAGGTGGTTCACTTGTTTACACGAACAAAGTCTGAAAGAGAACATAACTGTTGTCTGTAAATACAAAAGGAGGGAGAAGAGCTATTTAAAGGATGATGTTGACATAAGAACAAATGGTTATAAAACGGCAGTGAATAAACTCCAACGGGAAATTAGAAGGAAGCACTGGAATGATATCCTGGTGCAGCTCTCCAACAGGAGCAGGGGGAGCAAGAAACTTCACTGGTTAAAGCATAAAACTTGAGTACTTCATGAAACCAATTATGTGATGTGCGGTTGACAACAAAAGCTGGGATTTGAACTTGATGCAGGAGGTCCTTCTAAATCCTATTTCCTATGTTTCCAGGGGAAGCTGATTTAAATCTTCAGCAAAAGATGTCTTAGATGCTGATAACAATAATTAATACCTTACACTCCAGTAATACCCTTCCATCTAAAGACCACAAAGCACATTGAACACATATGGGAATTAAACATCTAAATATCCACCTGTGTTGTTTCTGTTATTTTGCAGCCAAGAAATTGTGATGCCCTGAGCAATTCTTTTTGGATCACTTGGAAAAATCTGTAAAAATGAAGAATAGACCTCACAGATCTCCTAGTTTTAAGAATAAACCTGTAGTTCTGAAAATTGTCATCATGTTTCCAAGGCTTTCTAATTCCAGAAAATGTATGAATTGTATACAATTGCTTGTACAAAGCTATAAGCCATATGCTGTTTAGCTTAAAATGTCAATGAGCGAGTCAGCAGCAACAAGAAAATGAAGGTGTTTGTAAATGTTGCATTTAAAAAGCATTTAGAGAAATGAGAGTGGTCCTCCAAAGATGTACGCATCTTCAAAATCAGAACAATGCAGTATTTCACAGTCATTAAATAACGTGTCACGTAGCTACAAGCAAGAATCATATAGCTTGAAAAAATGTTGTTTTCCTCTTGGGGAGTTGGAACAGCACCAGTTCCGTGTGTGTTAATTCCCACTCTGACTACCACCGGGAAAGGTGCCAGGGGTGGCAAGGGATAGAGAGCAGTCGTTCCCTGGCTCTGCTCCCTGCCCTGAAACCCTTCCCTCTCAAACCTGCAGAACCCCAGCTACACTTGCCGGCATTCAAACAGGCATTCAGCACACAGAAGAGACTAAACACACTGGTTTGGTTCTTTTCTGAGGCCTTAAAATCCTCTATCTTATCCCTACTCTTCCATCTCCATCACGGAGAGGTAAGTCTTGAAGTCCACCTGATTTCTTGCTTTCACCATGTTGATATCTAAACAGTGAAGCTCTATATGCAAAGATGCATTCAGAGGAAGAGCTGATTTGTGTAATTCCCACCTACCAATGTCCTCATTCTTCTTCCAGTGCCATGTTAGATGCTGGGTGTGGCCCCTGAACAGAGTAGTTGAAGCCATTGCCTTCTGCTCCTTCACATTCCTCCACTCTGTGTCCTCTGCCATTGTCTTCACAAGCCCCAGGCAAAGGTGAGACAGATGGGCTTCCATGCCTGTGTAGAGCCATATCCCAAAACAACTGTCTCTGCCCAGAAAAATACATCCTCTAACCCAAAGGAAGCCACTCGTGTAGCTGAGAACAGAAGTTGGCTGGAGTGGTGTGTAGATCCTGTTAAAAGCAGGTGCTCAAAACAAGACCAAGCACCTTCCCAGGGTAAATCAGACTGAAGGATGAAGACTACAGTTCAACAAACTTGGAGTGGGAAGCAGTGTTGTGCTGGGTGCAGGGAGGGATGGGAAAGACAGAGAATTCAACAGGAATCTGAAATTATCCATTTCAAGAATGTAACTTATTCTCTGGGTGACCAAAATTTACATAGACTTATTTGCAATTGGGAAAGATACGACCATGTAGAGGACTGATAGATAGACTGTTCCCATCCCTTAGATGCTGCTGGTTCTACTGGACTGCAATTTCTCCACTGGCCAGAACAGAGAGCCTTGTTTTTCCAAAGCTCAAAAAAACGAGGTCATGATCCTTATAATAACATTCAAATAATGAAAATAAATAATAGGAATTCCAATACCCAAAAAGTCCAGATTCTGACCACAAAAATATATGCTCTAAGTCAAAGGAAATTGCACGCGTGTAGCTGAGCACAGAAGCTGGCTCAGAGCCCACTTGTAACTAAGCCATGCATTTGAGGACAGAATAGATCCCATTGTCTCTTGAGAGGTTTTTAACTTTTCTTTGTTGTTCTCTAGCACATGAACTACCTAAACTGAAAAACAGAATTTTTTATCCAATGTATCCAATGTAACATGTCTCTGACAGGCAATTTTTTTTTTTTAAAGTTACCACTTTAGAGACTGCTGGTCAAGTTCTATCCTGATTCATTTCATCCAAGACACGGGGTGAAGGGTTTCCTCCCTTGAGTTCCATACACCCTTTCCAAGGCCACACTTTTCCACATAGTGACTAGAAGACAGGAAGAGTGGAAAAGCATTTTCTCCCTGCCTTCGCAGAAGATCTCTGCAAAAACTCATAGAGAAGAAAAGTGACAGAAAGTCTATTTTCTCTACTTTGCTGGAGAAAGATAATAGTGAAAAAGGATATTTAGCCTAAAATCTCTTTGTGGCTGCTGCTTCTGACCTGAGACACACTGAGATCATCTCAGATCAGCATTTTTAGAAAGATCTGTACACATTTTTGATTTGAGAATCTGCCTTGGTTGCAGATGTGTCTCCTAATATCTAAAGAGGAGAAAGCTAGAAATCTTGAGGAATGTCCATCTGGCTGAAGCAACCTGGGACCAAACAAACTCAACAGCCAGTCTTCTATTCCTTGGCCCCATTTTATTCTCTCTCAGCCTCATCATCCGCCTGAGAGGACTCCATTGAACAGGTAAGAATTGCATCACTGAAAATAAATCTCAGCTAGTGTTAACAACCTTCATCTGTCCACTCTCTCTCATCTAAAACCCCAATTTCAAAAAACAAGGTGTGTTCATTTTGGTTTCAGAGTAGCTCAGGGAGAGCAGAGGACAGAAAACTTGACAAATAGACAAGAAACTTGACACAATTCTGCAGAAATAGAAAAACTAAAAATGTATGACTTAAAGGTATTTTACCAACATTTAATAATACTGTGAAAGGAAGGAAGCATCACAAGATCAGTTCTTTACCTATTATTTTCAGTTTCAGCATTCATTTGATACATATTAGAGGGCTCAAAAACAATCACATGAGTGGTTACGAGGTGCAATTTGCTATGAGTTTGTGGGAGGTCCTGTGCTTGAAGACACTGGAGTATTTTGCTTTTAAATGCTCTGATATTTTTTTTTTTAAGTAATATGATTTAATTAATTTGGTGATCTGCTGGCTTTTTTCAGTCAGAAGTTACATATAACCTGTCTCCTGTTTTTGTCTCTCTTCCTCTCTCTCCTTTTCCCTCACAGAAGACTTTGCTAGGCATGCACACACATTTCAGAATCTAATCATAGACAACTTAAATCTTTCCAACGTTACCCACATTAGTAATTGCAAAATAATAAACATGACAAAATTCAGATTAATAGGGCATCCTAGATAACTCAGATGGCAGGGAGAGCCCTCTGGAATTCTAAGAGTAATAGGTCTGTGTTTATTTCTCAACCGTCGGCATAATGTGACTGATTTACAAGAGTTTAACTCAAGTGTTAATCTGACAGTGACGAAGAGCTTCTCAGTGGCAGAATCACTTACACTATCATATTAGTTGCCTCCTCTATTAAAGCAGTATGGTCGATAATTGGAATGCTTTTATGTCTAGTGGTTCTGACAAGGCTCTCTTTAGGTCACATATGGGCGGTCTGGCTTGCTGCACAGCTGAACAGTGGCAAATGATTTAAACTGAGAAAGTATTGTTCTCCTCATATTATGGAGCAAGGGCAGTTCAAGGAAAGTAAGGCTCTGCACCGGCTACCTGCTGGTGTGTAGTAAAATAAGATGGACATGATACTGGGTTGGGAGTACAATTAAATCTATTTTGCACCGATGTGTTGGTGGACAGATGAGTTTCCACATGGCAGAGCTTTATGATCTTTAAGGTAGACTGAACTAATAGATTGGTGTGGAACGCACTGAAGTTACTAAGGATGAGAAAGCAAGCAGCAGTACATTTGAACTACAGGTTTCTCATATGCTCCGCGTCATGCTGAGTTTTTATAGCTCCTGGCTTTCAAAAAGCCTGTTTCAAAGAGGTTTGCGCTAGACTGGGCATGCAGTTTTGCTCTGCAGATATTGTCGCTACCGATTTAGTGGAATGCAATTAGGAAGCCTAAATTAAGTGGTAATGGAGAACCAGCTCTTGAAACTGGGGTTTCCACGGCAACCACTGCTTACAATACAGCCTTCAGTTAGTTTTCCCACTTTATCTGCAAAATGCACAATTGAGCTTTAAAACAGCTTTGTGCTGAAAAGCGCACTGTAAACAACTGTTTGCAATGAGAGTTTTACACTGTCTTTAAATACAACAAGCTATCAAATAAAATTTACTTGTCCCCACTAATAAAAAAATAAATAAAAAATCCACACAGTACAAAACACTAAAGAGTCCAGAAACTTACTATTCACTCTGGAAATTTATATATAATACAAAAATTCAAGATCTTGTGGCTCATCAATTTGTCTTTTAAGTCTTATCACTATTGCTCAGTTTTAAGACATATAATCCCATATCTCTCAGTAGTGAGAAGAACTGAGCGTTTTGGTAAAAATACTGCATTTATCGCAATAGCAACGTTACATAGTTATAAAGTGCTTTTTGTCTAATATGAACTAATAAATGTGCATTTTCATCAGACTCCCTTTTACATCTAGCAATTTTTATAGATTTTTTCCCTCTATAATACATTATTATATCCTTCATAAATGTTCTTTTTTTATGGCAAAGTAGTGCTGTGCCATTTCTGAACTGCTTAATATTCCTGATTGCTTTAGGATCACAGCCCAACTTTTGCATCTTGTCAAAGGCAACCACAGGTGATTAAATATGTGCAAAATACAGGAAAGTGGAAAGGGTGATATTAAGATCGTGTGTAATTTGTATTGACCACCCTTTTCATGATAACCCCATCAAAAGCTGAAATTAAGTATCTGCAACCAATTGTTATCCTCTGTTGTACAATCACAAGTCTTAGTTTAATACTTTCAGGTAATTAGTAAGAGTTGGAGCTTGGCAGTTTTTAATGTTCCACTTTTTTTTTCCCTTCCTTAAAGATAAAAATCTCAGAGAAAACATGGTGCAAACCTCCCTGAGATAATTTCAGTCGAGACATCACATAACTTTGATTTTTGTCCTATCAGCAGCATTTTTTGGAAAAAGAAGAAAGATGCACCAGCAAAGGATCCCACAGCAAATCAAACCAGACCTAATTTGTGTCTCAGCTGAAGTACATCAACCCAAACAACTTGCAGCCTTTTAAGGCTGATACACTCTGTGTGTGTGTGTGTGTTATAGCAACCATACCGGGTCGATGCAGAGAGAGAGAAAAAGGGTGTGGGGGTGAAGGTGGTGAGAAGGGGAGAGAAGGGGGAGGTGTGGGTGCCTTCCCTCAGGAGTCTATTGGTCAGAGGACTGCATCTTGACATCTGCAGTCATGTATAAATCTGGATTTGATATAGTCTCTGCAGACTTTGAACATGCCAGGCAGGGAAGCTTGCCCTTCACAGTATGGGTGCGCTTTCAGATGCAGAGATTGGGCTGTGACTATTCTGATCTGCTCGAAACAGCCTTTTCAGCACTAACCGAAAACAGAGCGAGGATGGGAAGGCTGACTGCAAAGTTCACATCTCCTCTGCTGTGTGCTGGTGCTAATGGGAGTTTCTCCTGTGATGGGTAGGTCATAAAACACACAGCTGCAGAGACTGTGAAGGGTCTGAGCAAATCAAAGAACTTAGTAGTAAAAATGATGTGTGTGCCAATATAATTTAATATTAACTTGTGAAAACTGTTGAAGAAACATATCTTTGTCATATATCAGAACTGGTTCAAAGTTGAATCAACAGATTAATAGGGTTATTTGTATTGATATTTTCCTCATAAAGGCTTTATTATTTAGGAATCAGAGCTGGAAATTGTAATTTCTTTAATGATTTTTTCATCACATAAATTAGCCTGCCTCAACTCCTCCGTCTAGAAGGCAAGAGTAGAGGTTGAGCTGGTCCTCTTCCTCATTCTTACACAAAATCTGCTCATTTGGATGGATCCCAAATTTTAAAGAAACAAGTTCCTGGAAGAAATGCAGAATGCAAGTGCACACATGACTTTCACAGGGCATCTCCTTTCAACACCGACTGCCTGCATTTTATCGGAGTACTAAAGGACACATTGAAATTATTTTGTTCTGGCACTGGCATGCGTTGTGATGTGTATGCATTCAATTGCACTTGACAAATCTTTGGGGCAAACAAAATGGTCTAATGTAAGGAAATATCTTAACATATTCCAAAATGACATTTTTAGACCAAACATGTGTTCGATTGATTTGCCTTCTCCAGAGATCACTTTTGAATCCGGGCCAGCGATAAGGAGGGGGGGCAGGCTCTTGCTGAAGGCCAGGCGGGTCAGCCGTGCTTCCGCTGGTATTTCCTGCGCTGCAGAGTCCTGTACCTAACTGTACAAATAGCTCCACATGGCATCCTGAGAGCGTGCCAGGGAATTTTATGATCGCATGCCAAGTATGGTTGTCAGGTTCCACTCCACTGCTGTGTGTGTATGCGTGTGCTCATATGTGTGTGTAGCTGGAGCTAACTTCAGACTGAGTAATTACCATAATCCAAACAGGGCCTTTACCATCTTATTTGCATTCAGCCAGCAGTGCTGTTTTTATCAGCACCACTACTGAATTGTTGCAAAGTTTTAATTATCTTGACAACTCCCCTCTCTTTTTTTTTTTTTCCTCTCTCCCCTCTTGGTTTGTGTTTGGATTTCAGCAGTCATACCCCTACAGCAGCAAATCAGATTTCTGCAATGGGAAGTTTTCTCACTTTTTCTTCTAGTAGTTATAAGCAGATGAAAAGGCTGCTTAGAACGAGGACAGAGTGAAGTTGTATTTATTAATTAATGCCTAATATTTTTTGCAGCAAAAGTCACTCCAGATGCCTCTTTTTGATTTGTATTTGAAACCCTGGTGTAACTTTACATGTGTGTAAGCTTGCAAAATTGAAAGAAAATCATTTCCTATGCAGACAGATACCCCCTTGCATAAATGTTTGCCAAAATAGAGCTTTAGTTGTCATGTTTTCTATATTTCCATAATCTTTTGATTTAGGATTAGTATAAAGTGTATCATGTCACTTATATTTGCTCTCTCTCAAACACTCTGCATTTTCAGTATTTGAATCCTAAGTTAGACAAATTCAACCTTGAAATAAGACACCGTTTCCTAGCAGTAAGGGTAATTAAAGACTGGAAGAGCCTACCCAGGGAAGAGGTGGACTCACTACATCTTGGAGTCTTTAAAATGAGATTTTAGAAGATTAGACAATTTTCTGAAAGACATTTATTTAATCCAGCTTCTGGGGAAAGATTCTAGTGTTCATATACGGGAGGTCAGATGAGATGATCGCCAAAGTCCCTTTTGATTTCTCAGCCTGTTGGCCTAAACCTGAGTTTGGGTATGTTTTGGTTCACATTTAAAGATCCGTTATAACATCTCCATACAGAAATTGTCTTTCGGGAATATTAAGAGTAAATATATTTCAAAACTTTGTTGTCTGCTGTAGACAATAATGGTTTGTCAGCTAGGTTTTGCACTGCCTTTTGTTTTGCTTTTATAAGTAGTTACAAATCACAAAGGTTAATGCAGATTAAAATATTCCAGTATGAGATCACTATGGAGGAATAGAAGGCTTTCAAGCCTAAGATTCACAAGCAGAACAAATGTAAAAATGATTTCTAGTCTGTTGGCTTCTCAGGTGCAATAAATATTTTTCCTTAAAAAAGCACAATTAATATATTTTTCTAACCATAGAATACTATGATTGTACTTAGTGTCTCATCACTTTTGAAGTTTATGCATTAGATTGCATATAATTGCCATCAAACAGTATGGTAGTATTCTGTTCTCCTGAAAGGTAAACAAATTCTGTTTAGCAGCTGTTAAACATTTGGTTTGCTGCAGTTTGGCCTTATGAACACCTTATCCTTGTTTTCCCTTTAAAAGGAAAAAAATTAAAGGTAAGAACCATTAGGGATTTCTCTTTAAATCCAGCAATCTATGCATACTACTAAGAATCAATGCTCTGTAAGCTGTCTGGTGTTCTGCAATAAATTCTAGCTTTTATAGACTTTTTCTGGGCTAGGTAGCTGCTAATGCCATAGAAATTGATTATTTGTGGTGTTCTTATCACTGCTTAAAATATCTAATTGCTTTTTCTCCACAGATTTGGATTTGGCTTGCTTGATGCTGGACGATTAATGAAGGAAGCCCTAACTGGACAAATGTTGGTCTCCTGAGACAATGTGTTGTTGATAACAGGTCTGATTTGAGCAAGTCTAGTCAAATTCAATTTTAATAGTATTTAAAGGCACACGCAGGACACATATCGCTGAGTTTTCGATTGCTTTGTCAGGTTTTTTAAGTCTGTTGTGTTACCAAAGCTTATTCCCATTAAGTATTAAACTTTGCAAAGCAGCAAAGACACATACCTGTCATTTGCAGAGAAATAAATTTTGCCTCAGTATAGCAAGTTTTGTTCAAAATTTGCCTTTATTCTTTCACACTATGCAGGTTGGAATATGTAATTCATCACTGCATGACTGTTCCCGTGGAGGAATTATTGTACTCTGATTATTTTGAACCCTAAAAACTATTGATTGGGGTAAAAAAGAGACAAAAAGGTATTGCAATCAGTACTCAGTTTAGCAAGGACAGCCTTTTTAAATGCAGCTAATCCTTAGCCTAAAAGCTGTATGCAGTTGCTACTGCTCCTGTAGGATTTTTCATGAAGCTGTGCCTGTGTCATTTATGTGAAGTTAAGTACGAAACATTTTCCACTGCACTACCAAATGAAGATAAACACCAAACATCAAGTCACTATGTTACTGGATCACTGTATAGAGTGTGAAATTTGGCTCGCAGCTTGGTCTCAGTTCTAGCTGAGGAGGAAACAGGTCTCAAATGCCACCAGAATACTGGACTACAGGATGTCGCCCTTCTCATCAAGTCAAAGCAATGACATCTAGAGTTCAGTAGGGTCTCGAGTACTTTCCTCCTTTCAAGAGCTCTTGTTTCCTAGAGATACACAAACCAGAGGGAAGTGGAAATTGCATTCATGTACCTTGCACCCTTTCTAACCATGGTACCAGTCTCTCTTTGTCCCCAGAGGGGGTTATTGAAGGCGAGCCTAATGGCCAGCTCCCTGGAGGTCTAGGCACAGCACTGCACATCATTTTTAAGCACCAGCTTGCAAAAGTGACTGCAGACCCTGGTGTTTGTTGTCTTTTGAACACTGTGTAGAGAAAGGCAGAAATCTCAGAGTGAGAAGCAAAACAGATGGACATAGAAAGCACAAGGTCCATGCTCCAGCTCCAGCATGTATCTGTAATCATAACCCTTTTCATCAAAGTGCCCCTAGCCAGTTTGGTGCCTGGAGTCCTCTCCTCAAGCTGGCACTAACAATATTCAATTCAAATAAATCAATAACCCCATTCTTGTCTTTTGCATCATTATCACAGTCACAGCAGTCGTGCTGCCAACTAATTTTTTATCTAACAGTCTAGTAATGGTTCAGGCAATGCTTCATGTACGAGGACACTCCAGATCAGTTCTCTCTGCAGCCCCAGAACAGTCAGCCTTGTCACTGCCACCTTGCACTGGCACCCCTTAGACACAATGCTCTGAATCAAAGTGCTCCCTCTCTGTTGGAAGTATGCAATATTTTAGGAAACAATGTAAGGTTTATTAGTCTGGAATAAAACAAGAGACACATCATAATTTTTTTTTTTCCTGCTGAGCAGGTACAGAACCCAGTTACCTAGGAGGGGCTCATCCCACAAGCTAAGGCATGTTTTTGTTTATCCATTTTAGCCAGATTAATGTTAATGCAGAAGATATTCAAACAACTGGGTTTTTGCACCTATGGATCAATGACTTCTGCACGTTTTTCAAGCCTTTCTATAGGAAGGGCAGGAATGCACTAGAAATTGCAGTCCTGTGAGGTCTTTGCTTACCAAGAATTTCTCCTCCTTTCAATCCTGTGGTGATTCTCCAGCAAAGCAATGGCTGAGAGTTACACCCCAGAGCAACAGGAGCACTTTCCCTTTTTTCTGTCAATATTACATGTAAAAGGCACAGCAAGAAAATCTGTTTCTCAGTATTGTACCTACTTGAGGCTCCTGAAGGTGTGATTAATTAGGTGTGATTAATTAAACCATGAGTCATGACCTTCTTTTTTTCCTGTCACATTACCTATGAACAAGAGGGCAGTCAGTGACATTAAATGGTATGATAAACTAAATTTAGAGGAAAATTTAGAAAGAAATTAGTTGTGTTGCATGTGGTCAACCTATGGGATTCGCTGCTACAGGTGACCACCTGATAAATAGGGTTCCATGGCTGGAAAGAGTAGTTGTTAATCTGTTATTATCATAACAGATGGAACCAGTGCTATGTTTCTTGGACTGCTGGGTGCACTGGAAAGGCAGACATGAGTCCTGCTTGGCTAATGAAGTAAGATGAAGTTTTCCATTGGCTGGGAAGTCAGGCAAGAACACTGTTCTCCACAGACAGCACTGTTAGCTTGATCTATGACTTGCCATTTTGTTGTTTGGTTGGTTGTTTATTTGTCTGTCTTTTTAATTCCTCTGGAAAATACTGTACTGACTCTCTGTGTTGACTGAATGACCAGGCTTTGGCAGAAGACATAGCATTCTTCTTCTCTGACCTTTATATCAAAATTGATTAACAATAATTATTTTGCAGAAAAGGATTGACAACAAGATGTGGATGTTCATCTTTAATGAACTGTAGTCACCAAGTGGAAATCAGCTAATTTTGACGATACAACTGACCACCTTCTCAGCAATAGCTGAATATTTACTCCTTCACAAAATGGTAAAGTAATATTGTATCCTTAGATAATATGAAGAACAACCTTTTGTCTCTCATAATTTCTTGGGATCTTTCTCATTAGTGGCAGTAACAGGATGTGCTGGGTAGTATTTATGCAGTCAGAAATGGCATAACTTAGAATTAGAGCCTGTGTAATCCTGTCAAATATTCTGAATTTTATGTTTATATATTTTAATCTATGTAAAGTAAGGAGTCCACTCATAATCTAATTGGTTTTGTTTATTATCAAGTTTGCCATTTTACAGAAGAGTTCACTGGAAGGTGTCTGTTTTATATTGTTCTCACTTCCTAATAGAAGACCTTATTTAAAAGAATATTTGTTTTCAATTACGAAAATACTTTTCTGATCTCATTAAACCAAAAAAAGATGAAGTGCTATTTTTCCTTTTTATTTGTGACAATACAAATTAAACACACCTATGGCAAACCAATTACTGTATTTATTTTTTTTATATAGAGCAAGCCTATTAACTGTGAACGTGGAGAGATGAAGCAAGCAAAAAACAAGAGAAGTGTGAAGAGCTTTGCAGCCGTATCATCTGTGACACTGTATCAGCTCCTAGTTTTAGGGTCGATGAGTGAATAGGTGTATAAGAGATACACTGTAATCCTACAAAGAATGGTTTTTTCAAAGAAATAAAGGGAAAAAATTAAAAGGGATGTCAGTATATTCTCAGGCACTATATGATGACAATCTTAGAGAGGGAGCTTCATTTGGTGTTCTTCTGATTTTGAATCTATACAGTGGAACAGTACTACAGAGAGACCTAGATGATAATGTTCTTGATCTTATCAAGTGTTGCCATAGTACTAGTATTGTCACTTTCTTGTTGAATTTACTCACGTGACAGAAACCATTCTGTTATATAAGTTAAAGATTCACATTCTGTCCTTCATTTTTGCGCTTTACAATATTGTTAAAAAAAAAGACAGAAAGGGACTAAATGGGGCAGGAAGAGAAGAAAAATAGAGGTGAAGTAATAGCAAAAATCAAACATTAAATATTTCCTTTAACTGCAGCCAGAGGTGGTTATTATATTTGACCAAATAACCAAATCCTCCATCACAAGTCAGAACTTCACTTTTTATTTCAATACTCTTGATAGAAAGGACCCAATCCATTATTCTGTGTGTGCTAAATAGTGTACTACCAACACTAATAGACCAAGCAGATGGTTTTGTTTTATTGTCTGAATGGTGTAATGTTTTACTGCAAATATAAATAGTGTACTCATTTACCTGATCCAAGTTCCCAATGTACTTTATAATAAACCAAGTAATTTTGACAGAAATATGTTGACCAAGCCTAGCCTAACACATTGCCTAACACTTTGCATAAGTCAAAAATTATTGAAAATTAAGAACAGGAAAAGAATCATTCTGTTTACATTTGTTAGGTTATATCCATAATAAACTTGTAAAAAATGAAAACAGAAGAAATTATTAAAGCAGATCCAAATATTACATTTATTCTAGAATTCAAGATTACATCATTTTCTGCTCCAACAGAAGAGTGTGATGTCACAAACATCAGATTTTTCCAAAGACTTTCCTGAAAACATTTCCTATCATGGAATACTTCACCTTGCTTTCTTCTTACAGATATTCCTTCTAGAAACGTGTCCCTTTGGACAAGCAGTTAAGGAATATCAGGGGGGTAGTCTGGAGCATACCACAACGTGGGACACCAAAGCATTACAGATTGCTCTCGTGGGAATTGCTGGTTGGGAATTGGTGGTGGGTCAGAAAAAATAGCCAAAGCAGAGTGCCCAGGAGTGCCCCAGGGATCAGAAGCAAGACTAAACATCACTCTTCCAAACCAAGATTTCTGAGCTAACCTAGATTTTCATTTATAGTTAAAGCAGAGAGATTTTATTCTTACGATGGATTTTTATCTCAGATAAAATCAAGCAAGCAAAAGGACTATAACATTAGATCCTCCTTCTGCATTCCACCAAAGGAGAACTGGGCAAAAAACAGAGGGAGTGATTTGCTGGGGTAAGATGAACCCTAGGCTGAACAAGACCTCCTGTCCTGTTCAGAGGCTGCCCTTTCCTGACTGTGATGTAGAAGAAAGACAGCTATCAGTAGGCCCTTGCAAAAACCCTTCACCTGTTTTTGCTCAAAGTGACAAAGCCCAGAGGACAATGTCTGTATTCCCTACTGGTCTGTAGGGAGTGTGATGTAGCTGATGCAATTCCTGGCTCCAGCACACCTGCAAGGTCTCATTGATCTGCTGCTCACTGCTCTGAAAACTCAGAAATCTATTATCAGTGTGAGCATGTGCTTATTGATCAGATTACCTGCTTCTGTTCCCTGTATGCACCTAATTGTAGCAGCGTAAGCGCACACACACACGTAAATATACACACATGTTTTCGTATATACAGGCATGCACACACAGGTTATGGGGATGTGTGTATGTCAAAGGCTTTACTTTCTTTTTTTTTATTTTATTTTTTGCCTTACAAAACTGCGCATAAATAAAAAGAATGGACCTTCTCTGTGAAACGTGAGCACAGGAACACTCACAAGTGGCCAAGAGCTGCTAAATAATTAATCAATAGAGCAGTGTGGCAGTTTGAAATGTAAATGTGATGGATGAAGGTGTGATGCTTGTCATCAAGCAGAAAATGATGTGACTGGAATGGATAACCCACAGTACCTGCTAACTGGCAAAAGCTTGGACACAAAGATAAAGTAAAGCCATCAGAAAGCAGCCCTGGCAACCCCTAATTCTTGCCTTTGACCCACAATTCACTTTCATGTCTCTGTCCCAGAAGAGATGTTTAAAAAAATGATGAAGAGATATCTTGGGGTGGGAAAGGGGAGAGAAAAAAACCATCAGAAGAAATGCTACCTGACAAGGCTGCAGGCTACATTCTTGAGAACACCTTTCTTTTCTTTATGTTCTCCTACTCCTGTTAAATAAAAATGCGGCTCCTTTTTTCCCTTTCCTTTCTTCCAAAACTCTCCCGAGCCATTCCTGCAAGTGGTTCTGTGACTCAGGAGCTGACAACATCCGCGTGCAAAGGAACAAAGAAGGAGAGTGACAATTCAGAGTGCACGCAGGTGAGAAAGACACCTTTTACTTATCAAACTAGGCTGCAAAAAATGCTCTTTTTACTCAGTGAGCTAGAAATAGCGGTGATCTAACAAGGCACTGATCCAAATTCTTTATTTATGCTGAGATGTAATGCTAACAGGATTTTTAGGTTGACTAGTAGTCTGCGGCCCCTCCATTCAAGTAAGGAAACATTCCTCTGATTTGGAAAGAGGAAAATCCATATAATTACCGTATATTATGTGACAGGAAAATGTATGCTGTAATGGCAAAGGGTGACAGAAAATGTCCATCAAAAAATTTGTTTTCAGTGAACTTCCTACGCCAGTCATTGCATTCTCTCTGTGGGGAAATGCAACATGATGGAACTCGTTTCTCCAAATTCGAGAGAAATTTACTTTTTTCAAAAAAGTGATTTTTTTGATCCTTTTTTTCCCTTTAAAATTGCAAGCGTGCAAGTAGGATTTAAAAGTTTGATGGCTTCTACTTCTTGAAAGAGACAATCTTATTTCTCAGTAAGTACCATTTAGCAGGTTGAGGGATTTTTTGCCTCTTTTTTTATCAAAAGCCCATTCTTTAGAGAAATACCACAGTTTAACATTAGATTTTCAAACTCCCCAAAATATACATTAGCAGATAACACCCACTAAAAGTGAAAGCTAAATATAGATATACAATAATGCTTTGGCACACTAAATAGATGTTCTACCATTTCTTAGATATAAAATATACATACAAGTATTCTCTTAAAATCTTTGGGGTTTCTAAGACCTCTACACACATGAATTGGCCTAAAGAAGCAGCAGATCTCCAGGTGAATTGACCAGTGTTTTCATACTTCCCCAAATTATTATTTTTACCTTGTTTTCGTTGGGATCAGGTTTTTAATCTTTATGATACATTTATACAAGAGGCATCAAGAAAACATGCAAATATTTAAACCAAATGAATTTTAGAAGTCAGGAATTAGAGCTCAAATTAGAATAGAACTCCAGTTGGCCCAGCTCCATAATAAACAACCTACTTTTGCTCTTGGACTTTTGGTCCTGTAATTTGGTTACCTGGATAAGCTTTAAGCAGAGTGCCATCTACAGAAACAGGAAATCGCCACACTCCAAAGAAATATTTCCCTTTTAGGATAACAAAACAGTGGTCTGATAGGTAATTAAGCTTCAATTTTGTTTCTGTGGCATTGTAAATTGTCTTTTCAGATTTGTGCTTTTGGGGCTTTCATCTAGTTCATACCAAAGCCACTGAGCTGTCCTTCCCTCTAGTGCATTATTCCCTCTCTTTCTCATAGTTACATAGGTACATAGAGGAAAGGGACACAAAAATTGCCCTGAGAAAGGCAGATCTAAAAGAAGGCCCATGTCTTAACCAAACAGTGGCCATCAGCAGGCGGCTACTGAAGAGAAGAGGCCGGTAACCTCATAGCAGAGTGCTCTAGATCACTGTCCCAGCCTCCAGCAATTTGAGACTTCTTGAGATAGAAAAATTTCCCTGACTTGCTATAGTGACGGTTGGTTAAATATGCAGCAATGACTGTCCTGTACCAGCAGGCTTTGTTTCACCCCAAGTGTTATGCCAAAATAGTTGTATATCATCGTGAAGAATAACTGCATTTCCCCAGAGTTGATTTCCTATGGCACATTTTACTTAGACGCTTCCTCAACACCCTCGCAAATATGTTATAGATCTAAAACACAATCTCCTTTTCAAAATGAATGGGTATGATTACAGGCATATTCATTTTGTAAAAGGTACAAAAGGATATAAATGTGCCTTTACATCTCATATAATGTCAAAGTAAGACCCTCTTGCCCTTTTATTTTGATCTCCGCCATTTGAAAATAAAAAAAATGACTTGATTATATGTTTTTTACCATTAAGTGTATAATTGCTTTTGTGTTTTGACATTTAATTCCTCTTACCAAAATACATGGTAGGAATTAAAAGTCAAATCTTTTATGCATTTGATGTACAGATCTTTCCATGTATTCAGGAAGAGAAATAGAACAGTGAAACCTTATGTCAAGTACAGTGAAGCCATCTGAAAATGAAGACACTTTTTATACTGGAAATTTGACTATGGCCCCAGTTCTGCCCTCCCTTATCTAGGTCAATGGCATTTTTTAGGTCACTGGAAAGTCTGAATGAGTCAAAACCAAGCAAAACCTACAGGACTTGACCTTTAAAATAGAGCTGGGATGATACCATGCCCTGTCAGGCAGATTTCAAGATTACAGTCCAGTCTGAAAATTATTTTCAGAAGCCCTAAGAGAGAAGTTGGCCAAGCACTAGAGTGTATTGACCTGGTATGGGATGGCAGCAGTGAGGAACACAGGTCCCAGAAGGGAAGACCAGGAGCGGCTAGTGGGGTGTCTTGGCTGGCCCAAGGCCAGCAGGAGGGCTCTGATGCTGAGAGAGGAGGCAAACTCTGTGGGCTTGTGGAAAGGTGTGGCTGCATGCAATATGTCGCTTGTGGATGTTTCGAGTGCTTTTTATCTCCCCTTTGTCTCAACTTTCCCCAAAAGGTTTTTCCTACTTCATGCACTGTCCTTCCCTCTACTGCATTATTTCCTCTCTTTCTCATAGTTGTCGCTTCCACTACTTGTACCCTTTAACTGAATTCTCTCTCACTCCTTTCTTCTCTATAGGGCATGTCAAATTCTTCATCTTTACTCTACTTTCTGTTCATACTCATCCAAAACCTACATATTCTTCAGGCTGTATTTCCCCCCACTGGTCACAGCACTGTGATTTATTGCCATCCACTGAAGTTCTAAAGTGGCTTGACCCTACAGCTGTAACTGGGATTAGTGCCCTGAGATTCAGATTTATGGAGTCTGGCATTGCCTACAAAAGTTTTCTGAAACCCAGGAAGTAGACAGTAGCTGGGACCTCAGATGAACTGAGCCTGGGACTGGACGAGCAAGGAATGTTGATGGCAAGCAGTAATGGTAAACAAGAGCTCAGCAATGCTCTTCCCAGTGTTAATATTCTCACCCACAAATTCTTGTCATGCCTTCACTATGCCCATTAACAAAAACTGCTTCTTTAGGTGAATTTGCTCTTGGAGTAAGATTTGTGCTGTCTTTTTCCTTTTCCCAAAGCCAGGGACACAATTTTTCTTTTTTTTCATCTCAGGGAAGACACCCTCAACAAAGGTAAAGGACAATACACAGGTATTCAGAAAGAGAAGTAAAGGGAACAGGAATGTGGTGCATCAGGAAGAAGCAAGTCAGAGAGACAGGGAAGGGAGAGAGAGGAAGAGGGAGACAGCGAGACAGCTGAGTGTATCTCCACACAACAATTGCGTCACCATATTTCATGGAGACATACTTAGCTTCCCATAATGAAAGCAGCTTCCACTGCATGGGTGCCAAGCACACAGGTGTTGTCTCCCACTGCCCATCACATGCTTGCACTTTGAAGGGCAATGAGACAGCCTGGGTCTGCTTTCAAGGGCCTCCTTTCCATGCATCCTACTGCTGATAGGATTGTAAATGTGAAGCACTTTTCAGGCACATGATAAAGGTGTGTTTAGACACACACACACACATGTATATGTGCACATGCACTTGCACATTTTTTCCCGTCATTGTTTGTACACGCAAAAGCTGCAAATTTAAAATTAAAAGGGAATGGAAAGTCCACAACATGCAAATCACATAATTAACCCCATATGTTCAGGAGAGGCAGAAGGTAGGACTTAACAACAAAGAAATGGAGTCAACGCCATTTTTTTAAAGTGAGTAATTGCAAATAAAAAGTCATTTATTTATACCTGTGTTGTCCAATCTTTGAAGAAGTCTCTTGATTAAAGTTTAGGATCAGGCATCCAGAATATCGTGAGTTTGTTCTTGTGAGTAGCTATTTTACCCACAAGGTGGGTGTTATTTGAAAATTCTGTATCTTTGAAAATCTGTATCTTTGCTCGAGGGCTCTGCTTCTCAGTAGTCATCAACTCAAGGAGGTGCTTCAAAGTCAACCACTTTTTTTTTTCTTTTGTGATCATGCAATTCTGAAATGGGGAGGTGCAAGACAGGTGCAAATTACTGTTTTCTTCCAGCTCAGGGTGACCGAAGTCTTCAACAGGTCACCTTGGTTGCTGCAGTATTTCACAACACACTTGCATACAAATAAGAATATTAACTAATGCTACTCATAAGTGATTCTCTGTTCACACCAATCACAGAATGGCTCTGGGATCATTCACCCTGCCCTTTTAAATTTATAAATAGTTTTTTACAGCAATAATGTCAAACAACTGTAGAATTTACTGCTTCTTAGCCTGAAAGGGAGATGGCTCTCAGAACAACAAACTTGAGGAAAATATTTTCACTCAGCTGGAGGCTTTATGGGACAGATTTCATCCATAGTCCAGAAATAAATGTCACCTCCCTTGAGATTTTGAAACTCAATGCACATTCAGACCCAGAAATCAGGTGATGAACCAGAGCTTCAGACTCTCAGAAACCAAACACTTTGTGCTTCAGAGAGATTTGAGTTGTTTTTATTTTTTCTCAAGTTTTTTTCCTATTCCTTTAATTTTGATGGATGGTGTTTTGTTCTGCAGTAAGTTTTAATGTGTGTCGCTGTGGAACATTTTCAATTGTCGCAAACAACAACAACAAAAAGCAATATTTCAATATTTCTCAAGAAAAGGCTTCAAAGGTTTCAGATCTTTTTAAAATGTTTCTGCTTTATTTTGACGTGGCATAAAAGTTTTGTATGCATTCTCGCATCCACTATTGTGACAGCTGTATTTAATGAGTGCAAAATGATCAGAAAAACATCCTTTACTGTGGGTTGCCATTGCCAGCAGACAGGAGAGAGGCAGTACTGTAATAACAGAAGCGATGAAGTAGTTCACATTATTACTGATGAGGTATTTCTAACTCAAATGCCTAGATATGCCTTTTGAAAATAATGCATTGGTCACATTACCTGATCTTTTCATCAGATTTTGTTTCCAAGTGCGTTTTGAAATAAAATTCTGCACCCTTAGCCTCAGGTCATTAAGTGGTTGGTTGCGACATATTATTTGGGGAAAACACAGTCAGTTTCTGTAAGATGAAGAGGGAAAGGTCCTAGTCTTGCCTATAAATACCAGCCTTTCCATCAAACTAGTGCTAAGCGTGAAATGCAGATCCACAGATACACTAGAAATGAAACATCACACAATACGTTTGATTTCTATTTTATATGCATATTTAATATCTGAGTATTTTAGTCCAAACTGGAAAGATTATAAAAATAAATCTAAATGGATTTGAAAGGCAGAGTATTTCTTTTTTCAAAGCTTCATCGTTCCTGACTTCCTCTGGTGACTGTTAACTTATCATGCCTTTGTACAGGAGATCTAAGTATTTCATTCTCTCTTGTGTCTCCATATGGTACCATTTCACAGATAGTCTTCCTTTGGTCACAAGATGACAGTGAGAATGGATTGTCAAACTGGACCACTATGACAATTTACTCTGGGGGAGAAAATCCTGTGGGTGTTTAGAAGCTTTACTGTAAGTTATATTTGATTAACTTATCCTACTACTGACAAATAATTAGGTCAGCAATTAATTTCAAAATGCAAATGTGCTACAGGCCTTCATGTTTTAAGAAATTCCCTTTGTCTTTGGTTTCTACTTGTGTTAAAGTCTTAAATGGATTTAACCAAGTGAAGAAACAAAATTATGTTTTCTAATGCTTTATTTACTAGGTTGATTTGGACTTTTTCAGCAAATATTGACAGCAAATGTTTGTTCAGAAATGATCATGTGGGATGGAATTTAATGGAGTAAGAAAACAACAGAGTAATGATGAGCCACTAATTTAAAATATATATACATATATTCACACTTCTTCTGCTGCAAAATATTTATCTACCTTCATGAAATAGGAACAGAAAGACAAGCCAGAGGGTCAAGAGCAGATCATCATAGCAAAGTCATTAGTACCAGCTGAAGCAGTCTGAGAAACCACGGCATATCAGGAAAACACCCGTGCTTAATATTGCTGCGTGGCTGAAAGAAACCTATCAACCAACCTATCTCAGGGTCTTTGTTATTAAACAAACACAGATTAAAGGCTCAGCCCTTCCCAAGAGAAGCTCAAGGGAGTTTTCTGTTGACTTTAAGGGAGTGAAGCCCCTAAGTTTTCTGAGATTAAAATCATGCAATTTTTTAGAAAATAACAAAATATGCAGATGTAAACAAATCCACTCAGCTATCATGACGTAAAATCTGAATGAATTTACATAGGTGAAAGAATTACATTAGAATGTACTAAACATTTATTTGCTTAATTGTTTCAGGTCAAAAAGGAGAGCAACCACTCAAGAATTGGGTGAGGGTTTTTTACAAAATTTTTGATGACCCAAAGATGAAAAACTGGTTTTTTCATACTTAACTATGCAAACCACTTTGGAAAAAATAACTATTAAAAAAGAAAAAAAAAAAATGACAAGGTTTGTTTTTTCTGGTTTTTTTAGTGCGAAATGGTACTTTTACATCATATTCACTTTAATAATGTAAATAATTATGTAAGAAAAGAAAGCAAGAAAAAAAGATAAAACTAAACCTTGTATTTTTATCAGATTTTCATTTTGAAAGGAAAACAAAAGGAGAGCTGCATGGGGTAAAAAGTATGTGTCTCACCTAAACAGAAAAATCTTGGTTTCCAATCTCCTCTGAAGGATTACATACAGGACCTTCTTTCCATCTTAAGCAGCATCTGAAGAACTTTGAAGGTTTCACTAGGCAGGAGCAGGCAACACAAGGCTGAAGCTTGATTTTTGAGTGAGGGAGAATCTTTCTCTTTCTCCTCAGAGCTGTGGGAAATAAAATCAGAAATAAAACTGGATATGAGAGGGTTGAGCTGTTGGGAGCTGTGCAGACAGAAGCTTTCTTGTAAGATAAGGCAGTGCTCACGCTGTTCAGCTGTACACTGGCATGGACCCCCATTAAAGCATCACTTTTCAAAAAAGATACAGCTGCCTTTAAAACTGTCCAAAGGAGAGGAATGGGAATGATCAGAAGTTTGGGAAATGTCACCTGCAAGAAAATCTGAACAGGGGTGATTTCATCTGGGGAAGAAAATGAGTGGACATAAAAACCAAAGCCTTCAAAGTTTAAAAGCCTTCTGCAAAGAGGCAGGGAAGAGTTTGTATTTCAGGACTACAGCCAAATGACAGAGGGTTACAGTCCTACACTGAAACAAAGGAGAGTCAGGTCAAATGTTGGTGAAAATTTTCTCACAGTGAAGACACTGAAACTGTAGAAGGGATTGTCTATGGAGAGTCTAGAGGGTCTGGAGTCCCCCTCACTGAAGACTTTTGAGAATAGACTGCACAAATTACTTTCCAAAATAATGTAAATATTGTTTTTAGTTGAAAGCAATCCCTTAGCAGATATTACATTAATATTTTTAATTGATTTTAAGAAGCTGACAGAACTCCTGCTTTTATGGTATTATAAATAAACTTTCAGATTAATTTTAGGGAAAGAAGTATCCTATGAATGCTCAGCACAGCTACCATGATGAATGAGAGCAATTGCAGTGGGTTTTTCTGCTGAAACTGGACAGACAGAATGGTCTGCATGACCACAGTTGAGCTCATTAAAAAAAAAAAAAAAAAAAAAAAATTCAGTGATGGATAAGTTGGCATTAAATACTATAAAATAAAGGAAATCAATATACCAGAACTTGATCATTAAAGCTAGAGTATATTCAACAGCTTTTAGAATCAGAATCACAATGACTGTGACTAAGCAAAGAACTACCAGACAAAGCAATCTCAGTTTCTGTCCTAATGTTAATATCAATTTGATATAATAGCAATCCAGGACACATAGAACACAACTGGTATAATGCAAGTTTGAGTCAAAAAGATTATTTTTCCCAGGTAGCATCTATACATTTGATGAAAAAAAAAATAACATTACCTTCACTCTAAAATTTAAAAAAAGTAACAAATGTCTCATATTATTTAAAACATAAGTCTTTCAAATCAGAATGATCTCTGGAGTCACCTGTGTAAGTGTTCAAGTAGGTAAAAAGGTAGAAGGAATTTTGAAATATTGTCACTCTAAAATTAGGACATTTCATGTTATTCTATTAGTTCATTTGTATCTGTTTACACTGAAGTGACTGCACTAAATATCATAGCTGCTTTACAAAAGCCTTCTTCTGGTTTCCCTTCCCTTGGCTACTCGTGTGCTAGCATTCTCTCTTTGTCTCAAACAGGGAGAAGCACATCCCACCTCACACAGTCTGTCTTTCTCTCCTTCTGTCATCCTTGGGAATGGAGGGATTTTCCTTATCCTGTAAAATGGTGATTGAGGATTGCCTTATGGGGATCAGAGGGGCATTTCCCCTGGGATTGCCAGGCAACGGCTCAGGCCTGATGAGTATTTGTTCCTCCTGTCATCCATTCTGAAGAGCATAATCCCAAAGAAATCAGGAGGGAGTTTTAATATGGACTTTGAAGGTTAGATATGCCTAAGAACATGAAGGTGATTAAGAAATTATTCTACTGAAGCTTTCCCAACAATCTGGGGTTGACTTTTTTTTGAAAAACAAATCAAAATAAAAATGTCTTGCTTTGTTTTTCATTAATATCAGATGACAAATCTTAGCCTTTTCTCATAGCCTAAACCACCTTCGGCATACAACTGCAAACATAGGTTCCAACTTAGGCAAACTTGTTGCACTAAATCCTCCCAGTGGTGTCATCTGGATCCTAAGCGTAGTTTTGAAGTTGGCTTCATTCTTTTCTTATGTCAACTCCAGTTAGGCTTGTTCATGTAAACATAAACTGCATTACAACTGTCTTTTTAAAATTAGTGTAATTAACAAGCTCTACCAAAAAGAAAGTTTGATTTGATAAACTTCTATGAAAAGCATCTAACATTCTGTTTTGATAAAGTTTTTTCTTTGTCATAGTACACTAATGTCTCTTTTTTGTATTTCGAGGTAGAAGTCAGACTCCACAGACTATTTGGTGTCATCTCAAAGCATGTACCCCTTCTTCACCTTGCAGCAGCCCAGCAATCTGTCTTTGAGTGCCTCCCATCATCTTGGGCATCAGACACCGGGCATCCTTTTGTTTCAGGTACCAAATCTCCGAAACAAGGAAGCACACACAGACTCCAAAGGACCCACTGCCTTTCAGAACATGTTCTCAGCAGAGTGAGGAGCAAAGGGGTAGCTTATCACTCTTGAAAATCCTCTTCAGTGCTCCAAAATCCCCAGTTTAGTGTCATAATCACTTGCTGGCATCAACATCACTTTACAGCTACCACTGAAGAGTAACAGAGAGAAGACAGATGCCTTAAGTCAGATAGGACACCTTACTTTTTTCAGGAATAGGGTAATTACACACAAGCCAATCAGCAAAGCAAGAGTAGGAAAACAGAGAGGAATTCATTACCTGGAAATAACATACACTGGTCTGGGAAAGGAGGTGAAGGGAGCAGCTTCCTTTCCTCAGAAAACACATATTGCAGCATCCTCATTCTCAGAAGAAACAAGTATGAAACCTTGAGAGTGATTACCTTAGCGCTGCTCTCTTCCTTACCACCCTAGTCAGCCACCCATGACAACAGAGCCAGTTAGAGAATCCCAACTGGCAAAAGGATTAAAAAAGAAAAAAGTAAAGTGGAAAAATGCCTCAGGCCCCGCACATGTGACTTCACAGCAAAACCTGGAGCCAGCCCTGAGGGGTCTGATACAGAGAGTGAAGTAATGTGACTGTGATTAGGATGTGTGAAAATTAGAGGCCCTCTTGTTTTAAGAAGGCAGGTTATCTACCGATCCTGCTCTACACTTCTTTCTACTGTAATGTGGGGAACAAAGGCTGTCTGTAGAAGATTCTGTATTTCTCTACCCAGCCTATGTCACTTAGAGCTTTTTATGTTAGACTTGTTTTAAAAACTTCAGTTTAAACCAACATGAAAGGTCCTTAAGCAGTAAATAGCATATTATATCAAAAACAAATAGATTAAAAAGTGAACAGCCATAGCCAGTATATTTTCTTCCAGAGGAGTTTTACTTTCCACACTAACTGAAACTGTAAGACTGGCAGATCTGGGCCAGAGGTTTGTAATGGGCCTTTTACTTTTTTTTTTCCTTCCCTCTCCAGTGATAAATAATCAGTTTTAGAGAATTGATAAAAAGAGACAAGAATGAAAAGTGAGTATGACACATTTATGAGACGGATTTTTCATCTGTTACTTAAATACAGCACCTTTATTTCAGATTGAATTAAAAAAAAAAAAAGACAGGAGAGCCAACCAATTTATGTTGTGCTGCAGTAGTGAATACATATGAATGTACAGAGCACAGCCTGAGAGAGCCAGAAAATTCAACCAAAATTTCCTGACAAGTTGGAAAAAGTTATGTTATCATTCAAGAATCATTATTTGAAAAAGGAAAATAAAAACAGACCACATGACTAGAGGCAGCAGAGGATAAAAACATATTGTTTCCAGACAAAACTCCATCAAAAACATATGACTTGAGACCTTGAAGTCAGAGTATCTTCGTATTTTAAATTTCTATGAGCACTTTCAAGAAAAGCTGGAGTTCTGCTGTAGGATTTGCTGCACACTGTTCACTACTGATTGATAACAAAAAGCAGCATTAGCAGTATTTTTCCCCCATCGTTCCTCTGAAGCTAATGGAGTCGAGGATTCGTTACTTGATCTAATGGCAATAGCTTTCCAATAGACATGCACAGAATCATTGATTAGTTTGTCCTCTCCTTGTTTGCGTTGGAACACTGTTCAATTTACACCAATTAAAGAATGCTTGGTTTGTGTATTGAAGAACAATTAAGGGATGGAATTCCCTATAGGCTACTAAAAATGACATCTGACTGGAATGGTGATTACAGCATGAAGACAGCATTAGTATTTAAATAGTTTGACTGCTATATAAAATCATTACAGCACTCACCATGAAAAAGAGCATTAGTTAATTTTGCCTATAACAAAATTAGTTGTATGTATTTGCCTGGTCACTTTAAGTAAATTTGACAAGGCTAATCTTAAAGCAAGCGTTCCAGGTTTGGTGGAAGGAGCAGATAGAGCACTGTTAAAGTAATCATCTTGATAGATATGTATATAATCTTCAACCAAAATACAAATACACACAAATGAATAGCAGAGCTTTGCTGGAGACGCTCAAATCAAATGTAAACATTAAAAACACATCAGCTGCTGAAACTGAAAATCCAAGGGTAACTGGCATGTTAATTATACAACAATCAAGGTTTCACAAACCGTAAACACACAAGAAATCCTTATTTGTCCACCACTGTGGTTGTCAAACCTTTACTATGCTTTCCAGCACTGTATGGAACAAGGAATCATGAGAAGCAAACAGACACTATGGAAAGAGTCATCCTTGCTAATAGGACTCCCTTGTGAAATATCCCAAAGGATTAAAAATATTGCAGTGGCCTAGTACATCCATGTAATGTCTTCTCAGACAAGCTTGGTTTTTCCTCCACAAGGTGGAGGTTCATTCTTGAAAATACTGTTGAGGAAAGAGAGCTTTTTATCCTCTATTTATATTTCTCCCATGCATATTAAATTCTATCTCCTAGCCTCAGATTATAGTATCTACAGTAATGATCTATCCAAAACATGACAGTAACATTACTGTAACATCAACTGCTTGGGGCCAGTCCTGAAGCATATTTACATTTCCATAGCCTACTTAAATATAGTGTGTTTGTTTTGCTAAACTTAGATACTGTAGTATATTTTATAAGGTCATCTGCCTGTCTGAAGACCTCACATGGCAGCTACTATTCTTCCTATGAGAATTTATGCAGTTTCAATTGAAGGTTGTCAGCACCCTTTTTTATTCAGTAAAGGAACATAAGACTTTTCCATTTAAGCCTCTAAGCAAACATAGACATGTTTATTAGCATATCTACATTGTGCAATGCACAACTGTGTTAAAGATGCCCAAGCTCCCAAGCCCAAGTCCCAGATGAGGTGATACATATGCACAGCACAATATACCCTTAATTTGCATGCCCCAGCACCTCTGACCAATTCGCAGTACCTCTTTGCAGATCAAATTAGTCTCTGATGCCATTCTGTTCTTGGAGACCGTGCCTGGTTCTAGAGGTTGCTTATGGATATCTCCACTGCACCATCCATGTTCCACCAGATGGATCTGCCCTAGAATTACATTTGAGACAATACACCTCATCACTCGTTCATAGTACAACCACTGACTTTCCATGGGGTTTTGTTCCAACATTAAAAAGGTCTTCTATTCTGGCTCCTGTTTTCATGTTAGACAAGTAGTTCTTGCTTCTGTACCAGACCTCCTGTTGGGATCTCCCACTATAATCTGCCTGACTAGATCTTGGGCTTTCAGAAGTGAGACTAACGCTTCTTTTCAATGAATAATATTCTTTTGCAACAGGGCTGATATAAGGGTGTATTCTTCCTTCCACCCACAAGAAGAAAGCCCATTAATTTCAATAGAAACTTTCCATGCAGAAAAGGGAGAATGATGCCCCAGGGAACACTCAAGGAAGATTAATGGTGAGGAGAGAAAAGTGATACAGTACAGGCAGAACAAAATCAGAACCCACCACACAAATAAAACTGGACAACGGTTCATTTTTTAAAAGCCAGTCAGAAAAGGTAGGAAGGCTTTGAAAAAAATAAGGGCTGTTTCTGTGCACTTTTGCATACATTGGCTTTCAGGAGACATGAATAGAAACCTAACAGTAACTCTTTTTTCATACCTCCTTTCACAGGTCTCACTGGCAAAGAAGGATTTAGCACTTAATTCCTGTACTTTTATGTGGCAAATTAGGAATTTGCACCTTGAAAGGAAATTGCTTTTCAAACTCCCATAAATTCTGGATTTTATTTTTTTTAAATGGTGGAAAACATTCCCTAACTTCATCCCAACACGTAATAAATAGCACTCTCCATTACTTCTCCTCAAAAAGGTGTAGGAAAGTGGGCCTGGCCAAAGAGAAGTGTTTGTCATTCCTTCTGAGGAGATGTTAAGGATCTAGAAAAAGTGTCCTTAACCCTTTCATCTCTTCAACCCTTTTTAGTTCAACCTCACACATTTGCTCTCTTTCTCAAAATCAAGTGTCAGTTGAGAAAAATATTTAGCTTGGGACTTGGTTACTTGATGAAGTAGGGCCTGCTGACACTAAATAGATCAAAACTGGAATATGAACAGAGTTGCAATGTGTTTTATTCTTCAGTTTACCATCAGCTAGAAGTAAAACCCCTACACAATTTTTGGCATCATTTCAGGAAACAACTGGTTGGTTTGCAGCTGCACTGAGACAGAAGGAAGCTGGTGAACAAGACTGACACAGCACGAGAGGTTGCAGCAGACGGTAATTGGTGACTCTCCACAGGAAGCACTGAATATGTGGATCATTATGCTGACCCCAACATAAGGTCCCATCTCTGTGAGGCTTAAGGATGAGATGGTGTCCACCAGAGTGGGACAAAGGACCTGATCAGAGAATCTCTGAAGTGCTTTTCTTCATGAAGACAAGACTGAAAGACAAGGAAGTGTGACCCAGTGAAGAAGTGTTCTCTCACAACATGGCACTACGCTGGCAACTGTGGCTGTCAACAAAACACTTCCCATTCTGACTGTTGACACTGAAGTGAAGATAAGCTTTCAAAGAGGTTAGTACACACCCTGACTTGTTTTATTTTTGAGTCATTTTTGGCCCAGTTTCTTCCTCTCTACGCTTCCTGGCATGACAGAAGACCAGAGGCAGGTGTTGGGATGGCATTGGTTTTTCTCATTTAACCTGTGAGGCACCATAAAAAACAATCAACAATCATGGAGCATGCTCTGGATTTGTCTAAGCATAAGTGGCTCAAATACTAACATGTGAATTTAGTAAAGTTAGAGTCTGTGGAATGGAGATAAATTACAACAGCAATTGAAGTTGAATGTGATATAGAAATCCAACTAACAGAAGACTGTCTGGAAACAATTATTCAGAAAGCTGCTGACCCTCTATTTCTTTAAAGAGTTAAACATTTGGATTGGTTAACTGGCAACCGCAATAATAGGCATATGCTCTAATCTTTGATCCGTAGTTGAATTTGCAACTCTTAGTATGAGAAGCAGATCACATAGATTTGCATATTTTTAAGGATCTATAGGGAGGAAAAAAAGAACATAACCTGCTTTTCCAAGATGTTACTTTGAGATCACACAGAGTGTCATGGGCCTCCCAAGTACACTAGTGTTCAGAGCCAGTTGCAAGGACTTATAAATGTCCCTAAACTATAACATTCATATCTGAAGATGAATCAAAATTCCTCCTAGAACAGACCATTGTAAGTTGAAGGTGCTTCACAGAGTTATCTACATCTACCATTAAGATCTCATTTCTACGTCCATATCTGTGTCAGAACTTTCTTAAAATCTTAACGTGTCCAGAAATAATCAATAAATTAAAAAATGCTTAGTGACCAAATGAGGAACTGTTGACTAGACTCAAATGCATGAGCAAGAAACAGATTTCTTCCAAGGTCTTGACATCGTCTTAGGTTTTGCATCTTAGGAAAAATTTTTCAGTGTTAATGAAAATTCTGCAGAGACTAGACAACCATGAATTACCCTATGAATAGAATGGATGCTAACCAGACAAATTTTTTTTTTTGTTTAAGGTTCATTGCTTGCTCATTTCTTTTTTCACCAACTGAAAGGTGTTTACTAATCCCTCATTTTGGATCAACATCGTACCTATGGCATAGAAGGTTTCCTCCACTTGGTAATATTCCCTCAGAAAGTAGCTCCTACTGAGAGAAGTGAGCAAAAACTCGAGTACTGTGAAGTCAGTCACCACTGTAAATGTTTTCAGTTGAGGGATGTTTCAATGTAGTCTTTACTCAATTTTTTTACTTTACAATAGGATTTCTTTCCTGGTTCACCTACCCAATGCTCTTTGATATCAATAAAGATGATGAGAGCAGTTATTTGTTATTTCTCTATGGGTACTTCCTATACATCCCAAACAAAAATACAGATTACTGCAGGGGACTATGTAGATATGTGCAAGAAAGGCAATGCAAAGGAGTCACTCTCAAAAAAAATGCTATATATTTCTTATAGTTCCCTGCAGTAAGCCATATGGGGGCATGGAGGTATTGTAGCGAAGATAGACTAAAAACCGGACTGGCACAGGGGGTAGCACTTCCAGTGGGTAGGAAAAACTTTGTGAAGTCCTGGCAAAAATCACATGAAGAGAAGAAGAAGGTGTTGCACATTCCTGCTGGAATGATGCAGTGATCAGTGTGATCAGATCATTGGCAGGTGAAGCAGAACCTGAGCCAGCAACAATGGTTTCAGTACCTTAAAGTGGGAGAGAACAGAAAAAAAGAGTAGCATACAACTTTTTTTAATAAAAAAAATTAGTTGCTGATGCAGAGTTTTTGAGAAGGGACTACCCTGTGTCCTAGCAGCACAGATGTTACACACAGTAAGCAGATTCCAAATGTAACCCAAAACCCAAAGCAAACGTTGGCTACTTTTTGCACCTTGCCAACATCATTAGAAATGAGAGGTACTCTTCGGTCACCAGCACAGCCATGTAACAGGCTTTTCAAAGCTCGGAAGCATGATTAAAATAAAGGGCCAAGACTTGCCTTGATTCTTTATTAGGGTGATTTTCTTCTGTGCTTTGAATATCTTTGGGTGTCTCTTCCTAATCGTCTCTGAAAGACTTCTGATCTCCCAGAAATTTATGTTTTAGGGGATTGTGTAATCTGCTTGTTTTGTGAGAAGACAGAGTGCAAAAATAGAGAAATAGAAATTGCTTTGAGTGCTATATAGTATGATTTCAGTTACTTCACTTAGTTATTTCTAGCCATATTTTATAAATATCAGCACATTATATTTGTACTGGCTATTGAGATGATACTTTCAAAGCAATTCAAATACGTATTGTGGTATATTTTGCCAATATAATATTACAACTGTACAAGATTGCTTATATCAGTTGGGAGGAACATCTTAAAAGTTGCCTCCTACAGTTTATTCAGTTTCAACTTTGTACTGCACTACAAGGCCATTTGCTAAGATTTTGCTCATGCACTGTTAAGTGGGGTCTTAGTATATCACTACACTCAGTCAAAATATTGCAAGGTAAAAATAAGAATAGAATCATAGAATCATAGAATCATAGAATAGATTGGGTTGGAAAAGACCTCCAAGATCATCAAGTCCAACCTCTGATCCAACTCTAATTACTATATCATGGCACTAAGGGCCATGTCCAATCTCTTTTTAAAAACTTCCAGGGATGGTGAATCCACCACCTCTCTGGGCAGGCCGTTCCAATGCCTGATCACCCTCTCTGTAAAGAATTTCTTCCTAACCTCTAACCTAATCTTCCCCTGGCAGAGCTTGAGCCCATGTCCCCTTGTCCTGTTGTTGGTTGCCTGGGAGAAGAGACCAACCCCCTCCTGGCTATAACTTCCCTTCAGGTAGTTGAAGAGAGTGATGAGGTCACCTCTAAGCCTTCTCTTCTCCAGACAAAACAACCCCAGCTCCCTCAGCCTCTCCTCATAGGACTTGTGCTCAAGTCCCTTCACCAGCCTGGTTGCTCTTCTCTGGACCCGCTCCAGCACCTCAATGTCTTTCCTGAACTGAGGGGCCCAGAGCTGAACACAATACTCAAGGTGCGGCCTCACCAATGCAGAGTACAGGGGAAGGATCACTTCCCTGCTCCTGCTGGCCACACTGTTCCTGATGCAGGCCAGGATGCCATTGGCCTTCTTGGCCACCTGGGCACACTGCTGGCTCATGTTCAGCTTCTGTCAATCAGCACCCCCAGGTCCCTTTCCACCTGGCTGCTCTCCAGCCACTCTGTGCCCTGCAGGTTATGAAAATGAGACCAAGGAAGTAGCATTTCTATTCACACCAAGTAAAGCAGAAAATCTGGAAATCATTTCAGTAAAAACAGAGAAGAAATGGGATGTTTGAGAGGCATCGTCATTATTGTGGACTACAATAAAGGAAAAATATATATCAAATCAGAAGTAATTTCCTTAAATAAAAATGTTAATGAACCAAGACATTAACAATGAGATAATATCACCTTAGTGGTTTGGTCTAATGCAATTGCCTAAGCTCCTTCTGTAGTCAAGAGAGAGAAACTCCAGCAGTAACAGAG